GCTTTGGGGAGTGTTGAGGGAGGGAGCGGAGGCGCGGAGCGCGTTGACAAAAAGGCCACCAAACATCGAAAGCCTCAACCCCCAAGAGGAGGGGGAAGCAACTGCCAAGAAACTGAATTGGACAAGAACTCCAAGAAAGCAAAACATTGCACAGCTCCACACATCTTTTTGTTCCGCAGAGGTGGTGGCCAACTTGTCCAGAATTGCCAAATCCAAATCAGCCAATTCAAAGTTGACACGCATTGAAGGGTCGAAATCATCAAACCTTTCGTTTGTCAAATCGTCTGCCTCAACGTTCTGCTCCCTGGGCCGCCAAGACAAATTCAAATAGATTCGAGCCCGTGCTAAAGCGGAAGACAATTGCATGTTCACTGCCATAAGGGGCCACTTGGTTGTGGCCCTCTTTAACGACAATGCTTCATTGGCCCGATTGTCAGTTCCCCCTACTAAAACCATACTTAGAGATTTCCGCAAGGAGCTCTCCTCAATCCACCCGAAAGCGTGGAGGGCACACAAGGAAGCAAGGAGCTCGGCTGACGTGGAAGCCCATTGCGCTCCCATCCCATCTTTGAACAGCCAAGGAACATCTCTTCGAGTCAAACTCAAACTGAACCACCGCTTGGTGTCAAGCTCCCAACCCCCAAGGACTACTCTGTCATCCGTGCACTTGGCGTCTGTCCTAAACTGTTCACTTCCAAACACGAGAGGCCTCTTTACCGAAACGAGGAAACTTTCGGTGTTCAATTCGGCTGCGATGTATTGCAATGTTATGACGACGGTCTCTGGCAACCTACACACCGTCCCACCTTGGACAGCAGCGCCCCATGCGAACAGAGGTGACAAATGCGGTTTCAACCACACTAGCAGCTGGGACACAAATCCCAGCCTCCCGAGGAACTCCGAAAAGTCACGAACCTGCACGACATACCTGTTGGCCTCCAACTTCTTGATCCAGTCAACAAGCCACTTGCCGCGTTTCTCAGAAATGCCGACTTCTACCAAATCGTATCGAATTCGAAAGCCAACAAAATCCGAAGCGAAACCACCACCAAACTTGTGATACCCGAATGGGGTCCCAACAAGTTCAAAGGCCAAAAGCCAGATCCACAAAAGTTCGAACTTATGATGCCCGACAAACGACCCATGCAAGTCGTCCACATAAATCATGTGCAAGAACCAATATTGTTGCATCACATGTCCAACGAATCTGCCGATGAGCCCAGACAACTTCGCCCACCAGTACGGTGCGCTTGCAACTCCAAACGTACCTGTACGGTTGACCCAAACTGTATCCGAGCTGGAGTCGGTCCGGCAGCACATGTACCCCCAATCTGACTCTCGCACCTTCACCAGGCGGTGAGCCGCTTTGATGTCCGCACTCACACAAAAGGGTGCCTCACCAGTCTCCGTGGACTCGCGAACTATTGCCGCAATCTCCGCAGGTCCAGGGCAGTCAATCTTGTCCTGGTATTTGATCATGTGGTTCACCATCACGGAGTGCGTTGCATCGTGCAGCGGTCTAACTGTCCCGTCAGGCTTGACGATCGCCGCCATCGCTGCCACACGGAGCCGATCTGCATACTGCTCCTTCAAAACACCCAGTTTGGAAGGGAACATCCTCCCAAGACCTTCCTCCTCCTTGAACTTGGCCTCGAGCTCCTTCGCTGACATCTGCGCAGATGCATAATTTGTTGCAATGGGAGCGAACTCTGTATCATCCAGTTTCCTGTGCTTGATCTTGGGAGGAAAAACTTGCGGGGACCTTGGCAAAGGCTTCTCCACTCCAAGGCAGACGCCAGAGGAGAATGAATCTACTGCATCAACCAACCAATGAGCGTCCGGATCTTCAAAAATCTTGAGCCACTGGGCCAAGCCCCTCAAAAGGAACGGTTGCACTGGGTCCACCACCATTGCGTCCTTCGGGTCCGGGAGCAGCTGCGCCCACTCTTCCCTCAGCGCATGAACCACCTCCGCAGAAAAGGGGGATTGCTTGAGCTTCCCAGTGACCAACTTGAAGGCTGCCTTCCTCACGTCACTAATGTGGGTCTGAACCGCCTTCCTGAGAAGGGCGAAAGTGCTCTCTGCGAGTAATCTCATGTTCTCAGCTCTCCTCTCCCCCCGTTGCGCTGGCCTCCACCGTGTCGGACTGCATAGCCCAAAGCCGTCTACAAATTCATGCGTCTTTCCATCCCACTCCACTTGAATGGCCTTTCCACCGTTGAAACAAAGGGAGTGGTCAAAGTCACATTCGCCGGCCTGCTGTTGGTGGTCCACCTTCTTGCCATGGCCTCTACCACCCGAAGCCGGTTGCTCAGCTTGCTCTGGCGGGCTTGAAGAACACAACTTCTTTGCTTGCTCTGGCGGGCTTGAAGAACACAACTTCTTTGCAGAACCTGGTGGAGGCCCATTCTGTTTGATCCTCTTGCCCCCACCGGAGGATGCAAATGCATGAAGGATCAAACCGGCTAAAAAGGAACACAGCTGTGGTGGATACGAAGCACTGGGGCCAGTTCGCCATTGACCTCCAAGTTTTCCAATCAACTTGAGTGGATGAAAATGACCGCAGCGACGTGGCAAGGGCCCCTTATACAAGCCATTACAGTCGAACTGTGGCAAGGCGACGTGGCACCGACTGTCCGTGACATGCAAAGTCGTCAAAAACCGTGTCGGTTTCGGAGTGGATGCCCCAAACTGGCACTGTTGAATTGCGAAACAAGTGGCATTGCAATGCGAAATCAAATCATGCACTTCAGGCCACTGCCAAATAGAACCGGGCCGTATGCCATCAATTGCACCTAAGTCTTCAGGATGTTCCAATAGAAAATAACCCCCTGCATCAAAAGCACATGCGCAAGCTTCAATGCACTTTTCAACGAACATGTTGGCCTCAGACACAACATGCATATGGGACTTGCGGAGCCATGGAAAACCCTTTGGCCACGCATGTGAACGAAGTGGTCGAGGCCCTGGATTCTTACGATATCTGAACCTGGCACGACTGAACGTATTGCAAGGTGGTGACACGATAACACACCATCCACCTTCCTTGAGAAGGCGAAAAATGACATCCCACAATGCCTGATCGGTCAAATCATGGTCTGGTGAACGTTCAATGTCGAATTCATGCAATGTGAGCCTGATCTTGCCTGCTTGCTCTGCCTCATGCAAAAAAGAAGCAATATCTGATTTGCGGCGTTTCCCAGCGAACAAGTACATCACTTTCACTTGGGGAAGCGACGAATTGTCTGTACCTGATGCCGCCTTGCTGGGGGAGACGGCACGGCCCTCATGTCAACCTGATGAACTTGCATGTTTACTATGCTCTACTGCTTTATGGTCAGCAAAGCATCCCTTGACCCGGCACTGGTGGACCCTACCACATGAACCATCGCATTCACCTGTGTTCCAAGCGAAACAAAGCTCACGACCGTCCGGAGTACGCCATGCTAATGACAAACCTTTCAAGCGTGCATCCCCCCCCAAATCCTTTCTGCTTGCCCTTACCTGTCTTGCCTTTGCCTTTTGCTTGGACTGGAAACTTGCCTTTTCCTGCAAATTGGCCCTTGGTCTGAGGTCGAAACCATTTATTCGGCTGCCATGACGATTCGGACAATATGGCGGATTTCAAAGCCACTGGAGTCGTGAAGAATGCCTCTTTCAAATCTGCATCGCGAATCACTGCATTCAAAGAATCGGCCAAGGTATGACCTTCCAAAACTTTCTTCATGGCCTCCTTACGCAACTTATGCTCAAATGAAAGCACAATAGTCCAATCTGGCTTGACCTTGTGGGAACCTTCGCCTGTGCCGGAAGGAATCTGAACACCATACACACGCTCGCCTAAAATAAACTCGGTGAACTTCAAAAATGGTTCAGCGGTCAAACCATGCAGCCAATGCTTTGCACGATACCTCGATGCCATTGCAAGCCATGCGTACATTTCAACTTTCATTACCTTACGGAACTCCTCGGTTGTCGTCGGCATCTTGGACTTCGTCTTGTTGCGAGTAACCCGAATGTGTCCTGACGGGTCAACTGATGACTGAAGTTGCGAACTGGATGCAGCTTGCTTGCTGAGGATTTCATCTAAGGGTGCTGCCGTTGGCTCGTTTGTTTCTGTTTCCTCGGCCTTCAAAGACAAGTAGTCGGAAGACGGACACTCGGAATCCCCTAAGGCCCCATGAACAGCCTCAACTGCCCGCAACATGGCTTGACGCTCATGGATCTGAAGGATCCTCGGCTGACCCATGACCTTGGCTTCTGCACGCATCTCAATTTCTTTTGCCAAGAACTCTTTTGCGGTTTCCCACGCCGAAACGATTGAATGCACGATTTGCGGGCGAGTTTGCAGGGAGTGCGAAATCATGTTCACATGCCGTCCTGATTGCAGCACGGTCATCCCCCACTGCACTGAATTTCCTGAGTGTCCCATAATGGGTTGCAATCGCCGCCTGATGGACGAGGTCAACTCCAGATTCACCTAGAATGTACTGCAAATCAGAATCCATGTTATCTCGAATGAAAGCCCGTTGGGCCACAGGATCCGGCCCCGCCATCGCTCACGCACTGCCCTGCAGCGAATGTGAAGCACCCTAAAACAAAGTTCATGCACACCACAGAATCCTGGCAGATCAAGTGCAAAGAATCAAACACCCTGGCAATCAAGTGCAATGAATTGAAGTGAAATGCAAATGAACGACAACTTACCTTTCATGGCACCCTGCGGTCTGAGCCATCGTTGAACACAGATCTCAATCTGTTTTCCACTGTGCGTCTCAACGCGTCCTCAACGTGTCTTAACACCCTTGTGGCCCCCTCCTCTTAGTGCACTAGACCTCCAAACAAGCAAAGACAAAGAAAGGGGGCAAGAAACACAGCAAAAGGGTCCGCGCGTGCGCGCGCGCGCCTCCGACGGCCGTTTTCAGAGCCCAAAAGGGCGCGCGCGCGCGCGCGGACCCAAGCTACCAAAAGTGGCCTTCACGCATCTTAATACACAGCAACACTGGCAACCTCACGATCCTTTCCACTGCGGCGCGCGCTCGACTCTCAATCGTCTCCTCTCGGATCTGAATCCGTCGAAGAGGAGGACGCTGTGGAAGAATGGTCTGAACCTTCCTTACCACACTCCTTTGCCATCTTCTTCTTGCAAGCTTGGCAAATGGAATCAAAATCATTCTCAACCACTTCATTACAAAAGATGACCTCGCCGCAATGTTCAGGCTTCACGAAACAACCCACCAAATGCAGCCGCTTCATTGCTGTCCTTCGGGAGACTGTGATGAAGAACTTACACTCCTGAGGCTTGGACTCTGCTTCTCTCCGTGCCTGGGCCTCCACGTCCCTGCAAAGAACATCGTCTGACTCTGCAGTCCCGTCAGCCTCAAACAAGTCCCAGCAATTCTCCAATGTAGGATACTTCGAATGGAGGCAGACACGGCCCCCGACATCGTACATGACTGCATGCTTCTTCTTTATTCGAGCAGGATTTGCCCCAGTTGAAACTGCATACTCACAAAGCCTCCCAATTGTTTCGTCCTCGTGGTACAGCTCGCCAAAACCCTCCAGGATGGATTGACAAACTGCCTTTTGGATCTTGAAAACAACCTGCCTCGAAGTGCGAACATATTCTTCAGAGGAAACCATTCCCATGCTCCACCTTCCCAAATAAGCACGTTGGTCCTTTGGAAAACCGAGTACAGCAGCGACGGAGGTCAAAAAATTTCTCGGACTATGCCCTGAGAAATGTGCCTCTATCCCGTCAGGGAGGAGCAAAGCAGGGTGCATGGACTTCCAGCCTCCAGCCGTCCTCTGTGGGCGCGGCAATGCAGATAACAGCTTGAGGATCTGAGAACTCAACCCGCTCGGCGGCAAAAACTTGCGCTTCACTCCAGTCCAGTCCAACAGTGGTTCCATGACCAAATAGTCCCGCCTGAAGTTCAAGGGTTCTTCACCCCAAAGGTCAAAACCCGTCCTAATCCAGTCAACCCCAGTCAACGAAGTGAGCCTATGGATATGAACAGACACCTCCTTCTGCACCTTGTCCGGACCAGTGGTCTTGCTACGACCTAACACCAAGCGGAGCCCCATGTTCGACAGCACTGACCGATGTGGGATGATTGCTTGCACATCATCACAACGCATTGCACCCCACACCATACACAAGACCACCCAAGCCAAGGCCCTTTCAAATAACACTGCATCTTCGTCCCCAACCACCAATTCGAGTGACAGCAGCATTGCAATTGTATACATCTCTGCCGGCTTCCGGGGTGGTGCATCTTCGGCCAACTCCGCACACCAAGATTTGACATGCCCCTTCCACAAAGGATCAAAACTAATCCTCTGGCTCTCAGGAACCCTTCCGAGGAGCTCCAACATGCCCAAGGTGGTGTTGAGCGAATCCGGGACTGTTTTGCCGCACCCGTCATCGACCCTGTGTTGCATGTAGTCAATGACATCTTTGACACCTTGAGGAAAAGTGTAACCCCTGTGAACTTCCAACCAAGTTTGAAAAGGCTTCCAGACCTGATACCTATTCTTCAGAGTGTTAGCTCTCCGTGCAGCAAAAATGTGCACCCATCCAGAACGCGGGTCGTCCAAGGACTGAACCAGTTCAACCACTGGGAGCTTGGCGCCAATGATGACCTGTGCCAACAACATGGAATACTTTACCCGCTCCGCCTCAAAGTGTCTGGACCTCGCGTCAGGAGCTTCATCCCTATACTTGCGCTGCTTTCTCTTCGAATGCATCTCTAAAATACATAAATTGCTAGTGCGAAGAAGGCTGGTGTAAACTTCCTGTACTTGTGGACCCTGGTGAATCGAACTTCTTGCCCTCTTATGCAACCTCACAGTGTCTTCTTTCCACTGCACCAATTGCGCAACTGCATCTAACACGTGTTCTTCAACCATGTCAGGAAAAGCAGTCTTCACCAAGGCCTCACAATCACTTTCTGTATCAAAGGCAGCGTCTAACCTCAAAGGAGTTCCAAACGTCCTCTGGCACCATGCCAGCAATCCAGGCTCCACCGCAGGCCACATGGCATCCGGCCCTACGTCCAACTTTGTTGGAAGGCACCGCGTCCCCCTCTACCTGAAATCTTAGGAGCCCAGATCTTCTTGAGCCAAAATGGCTGAATCACATGAGACCTGAATCCACTAAATGCTTGAAATCATTTCACAAGACCGAAAGGCATGCAACATGCAAAACGAAATCTGCGAACATCCGAAAATGACATCAGAACTTTTTGGCTCAGAAGCCAAATTTTTCCAAAGAAGAGTTTTGGCAACGCGAAACCACACAGTGAGACAATCAACTATGGTGCACAGCACACCAAGCGAGAGCACTCTCGGAGAACAGACCACAAACAAGGCCACCCACCCACCCACCCA